GTGCAGACGATATCCTGATGATTGTCGAACCAGGATTTAGCAACGATGGCGAAATAGGAAGAACTACTTCTGGGATCCGAGCAATGCTTTGTACAGGGTGATTCAAGGAGACGCCAGGCTCTTTAAATCGACCGCCAAATTCGGTTTCTTAACCTATCACGCTACGACTTTGTGCAGCGTTGCCCACAGACGGTGCGTTTTTTTTTTTTTTTTTTTTTTTTTTTTTTTTGTAAAATTTGCAAAGAGCGAACTTACCTGAGGAAAAAGTAAAGAAAGAAAAAGGCTTAGTTCCTATGGAAACGCAGCGGCAACACCTTTCTTCAAACAACACGGCGCCGTTTTTCACGGGAGACAAGAGATGGCGCAACGAACGCCGCCAACGAACAGGCATACGGCGCCGAATCTTTTCGACTGAAAGCGGCGCGCGTTCCGGAGGCGGCGACAGTCGCAGAAACAAAAAAAAAAATGAAAGCCGTTTACCACTCCCTGTAACGCCGAATTAGAGCGCAGCTCTTGAGGAGCAGGAGAGAAGGGTACTGGGGTAACCTGTTCTCGGGGGTGGAGGGGGGGTGGTCACGTTTACCTTGGGGGGCGGTGTCACGTGACCTCGGGGGGGGGGGGGGGGGGGGGGGAGGAGTCGCGTGACCCCTTAGAAAAATTTTTCCGCTAGATTTACCGGGAAATTTTTCCGCTAGATTTAGCGGGGAAATTTTACGGCTAAATTTAGCGAGGAAATTTACCCGCCGCCGGCGTCGCGCAATTACGCGACGCCGCTCAAGCCGGAAACGGGCGCCTAAAGCCTGGTTCAGACAGTTGCGTTTGACAGCGTTTGACTGCGTTGCGGCTTCGAGAAACCATGACATCCCTGCTGCTTATATCGCGTGCCAAGATGATTCCTTGAACTGGATTCCACGCTTCACACGAAGCACAGATGTGCCGGTGACTCGCTTTCGGTTCTCGACGCAACGCAGTCAAACGCACTCAAACGCAAGTGTCTGAACCGACCTTAAAGCGCGATCCAAACCAACGCTTCTTTTTGCGCCTGTAGGTCGTGCGGCTGCGGATGTGACGTATTTTCGTGACGTCGCGCCGCTTCTTCGCTCCTTCCGGGCGCGCACAAGAAAGTTGGACAATTTCAACTTCTTTCTCAACGCGCACAAAAACGCGCGGTGACGTAGTAGGGCGCTCCTGTGTCCCGGCCAATCGGTGGAGGGCAAGCTAGTTCCGGCTCCGCGTTTCTCGCCGTCTGGCTGCCCTCTCCTCCCTCCCTTTTATTCTCTTCCAACATGACAACGCGATCTCTCTCTCTCTTTCTCTCGCCGTCTGGCCGGCCAGTCTGTCGCAGTTGCACTTTGCTTGTGCGCTCGTGCCGAAGTTTCGCCCGTCCTAACCAAAGCGCACGGTTCTGACTCAGAAAGCGCGCCCGGAAACAGCGAAAACGCCACGAAATGCGTCACATCCGCAGCCGCACGACCTACAGGCGCAAAAAGGAGCGTTGGTTTGGATCGCGCTTAAGGGCTGCGCTCTAAAGCAGGCGCGGTAACAACAAGGAAGTGCAGTTTCTTGTCTGCTAAAGATGCCGGCTCTCAGTGTCGTATGCTCGTTCGTTGGCGGCAGTTGGCGTCGCGACCGCCTGCGCCATCCCTTGTCTCCCGTGCGAAACGGCGCCGTGTTGTTTGAAGACCGGTGGCGTCGCTGCATCTCCGTAGGAGCTAAGCATTTTTCTTTCTTTACTTTTTCCTCGGGTAAGTTCGCTCTTTGCAAATTTTACAAAAAAAAAAAATGCACCACCTGTGGGTACGCTGCACAAAGTCGTAGCGTGATAGGTTAAGAAACCGAATTTGGCGGTCGATTTAAAGAGCCTGGCGTCTCCTTGAATCACCCTGTAGTTAATCATAACATCATCTACAAAAGATGATGATGATTGGGGTTTTATGGCGCAAGAGCAACTTTGGCCATATTGCGCCAAACAAAGGTTTTTCCAAGGAGATTGGAGATGGAATCTAAAAGAGCTGCAACTAGTGTGAAAGGCCCGTTTTATGGAGGAAATTTATAACTCAATTGAACGGTACCAATGGCTGATCGCCAAGCAGAAAATATAGATGAAAGGAAAGGTGATCTCGGAAAAGTTCTGGAAAACATGATCGCCGTTGTCGATTTAAGGATTTGCAATGCCACATGATGTGCATAACAGTCATAGCTTTCCCACAGTTGTCGCGAAGTTTAACATCCTCACCGCAGAGCAGGTGCAGGTGAGTCAAACAGGTATGACCAATTCTTAAAAAACAAAGCAGGACTTCAAACTGACGGTCCTTGTGGGAGGTTTTTTTCCCATATCCCGATCCAACTGCCATGACTTGATAATCGATTTCTGTATGATCGGTTTCAGGTTTTGGTGTGGCAGCCGAAGAGGCAACTTTGGACACTATTTTGCAAAGGCAATAACTAAGTCTGCTTTCTCAACGCCGTGTATACCCACTGGACCTGGAACCCAGCAGAATTTGATCAGGTGTCCTAGTTGAAGTGCTCGGTATAACCGTACCCAAAGGTGTTGCGCGGGAATGTTCGTGTTGTCTTCTAAGGACGAAACGGCTAGGAAAATGCTCTGGAAATCGGAAAACGAAAATGCATTCATGATATTGTTCTTGAATAAATACTCGACAGCTAATAAAATTCCGTACAATCCCTGAAAAGAAGTCATTTGTATGATAAATTTCTTGTGTCCAATAAACACATCTGAATCATACAGGATATATAAGAACATACTGTATAAGAACCGCATAAGAGCTATATAAGAACTATATAAGATATATAGGAACGTGGTTGCATGTTCTTATATATCGTATATAGTTCTTATATGGTTCTTATATGTTCTTATATATTATGATTCATATGTGTTTATTGGACACGAGAAATATTTCAAGCAAATAAGAATTTTCAATGGGGATTCAGCAGTTAAATATTTACAAGAGAGTTGATTGTCGAACTTCCTTGAAGGCAATGGAATAAACTGCACAGCCCACAAAAGTTTGTGTTTTCGACCCATCCGTGTAAAAATGTGAGTAGTTCTTGTATTTCTGTTCCAAATCGGCAAACTCCAACTGAAGAACAATTGGAGGAAAAGCTCTCTTTCTGTACTTGGACAGTGACCAGTAAAAAGAAATTGGCAGAAGATCCCAAAGTGTAACTCTCTCATTGCTCCTCAGCAAAGCAGCCTCACTAAAGGGAGGAAGGATGGAGCGATGTTGTCATGCTTTGAACTCTGAAACTCAGGGACCGAACAATACTCCGCATGTTTTCAAAGAGTCGGAAGGATGTAGAAGGTTGGACGGCATCAAAAGGGGGATGTTGAGGATAGCTGTATATCTTATAAGCGTAACAAAGACTCAAATATTTCCTTCGTCTTTCAAGGGACATTTTATAACTATCAGTATACACGCTAAGCACAGGTGATGTTCGAAATTTCCCCGTGGCAAGTCGGAGCCCCAGATTATGAACAGTTCAAACAACTTTAGGGCAGACGGACGCGGCGACTCATAAACAATCGCGCCATAGTCCAGGCGGTACCTCACCAAGGAGTTATAGAGTCTCAAGAGGCACCGTCTGTCAGATTCCCAGGACGTATGCAAAAACACTTTCAGGATGTTTGATGAATGTAGGCATAATTATGTTTCAACTCTTTCGATTTGGGTATAAAATTGAGCTTTTTATCATATATTATTCCTAGAAACTTGTGTGCCTCCTTTACAGATATACAAACGTCATTCGGGTGCAACACTGGGTCTGGAGACAGGCCACGGCGGAGTGAAAAGGGAACACAGACCGTCGTTTCGGGAAGAAACCTGAAGCCATTTTGATCAACCCACTCGCTCATCTTATTGATTGTGAGCTGCAATTGCCGTTCACAGCTGGACAACTTACAAGAAGAAAAGAACATCTGCACATCGCCCACATACATTGAATAGGATACAGATGGTGGTATAACCTAAGCCAGACTATTAACCTTCACAGCAAAGAGTGTAACGCTTAATGCTCCACCCTGGGGGACGCCATTCTCCTGGAGAAAAACATCCGTCAGGATGGACCCCCATCGCACTTGGAAGGTCCAACGGGTCCAACCGGTCAAGAAGCTCTGAATACAGCGAAGCATGCGCCCTCGGACACCATTATGAGTACAAGTCTCGAAGGATTCCATATCTCCAAGTCGTGTCGTAAGCCTTTTGTAGGTCAAAGAAGAAAGAAACACAGTGCTGGCGTTGGACAAATGCTTCCCGAATAGAGGTTTCCAGGTGGACAAGGTGGCCAACCGTGGAGCGGCCCACTCGGAAGCCGCACTGATTTCTATCAAACACACCCTGTGTGTTTGATAGAGGGTCCCTCTAAGAAGTGTACAAGACGGCGATTAACGAGTCTCTCACAGGTTTTGCCAAGGCAACTTGTCAATGCAATTAGGCGGAAGCTCGTTGGTAAAGAGGGTTGTTTGCTGGGTTTCAGTAGAGGTATTATGTGTGCCATCTCTCAACGGTCAGGAAAACAAGCAGCATCACACAATAAATTGAAAAAGGTGAGCAAACTGTTTAGAGATTCAGGCGACAATCCACTTAGCATCTCGCTTTGAATCCAATCCGGCCCAGCCGCAGATTGTTTTTTTGATGCCGAGAGCCAATTCAAGCTCCCACCATGTAAATGTATGACTCGTGTAACATGTAAATGGATGACGGCATTGTAACATACGATTGACACACACAGTTGTCACACAGTTGTCACTGTGTGACTTGCAAGCTTGATTGTAATTAATTTCGGTTAAAATAAAAGAAACATTAACGCTCAAGGATATTTTACAGCAAAAGCGCGTCGCGAGAGGCTGCCGCTGAACCCGGCTTATAGTATATGTATGTGCCCGGGCGAGTAAGAAAGAAGATGGCGGACGGCGCGCTAGCAGACGACAAGAGCGAGGGGAGGGAGACTTGTCACTACCTCTCTAATCTCGGGACATTAGCGACTCCATTGAGTCCGAGCAACGCGTTGGTCCGAGTCTCCGAGTGTTCGAGCGTTGACATCGGCTCTAGCATCGGCGCGCTGGGTACGATTCGTGGGTTGTCCTTTCGAATAATTTCATTTCCCGTGGTTCCGCGAATAATCGATCGAGCTGGCAGCATGCTGTTTCTCGCTCAGAATTTGGGCCCGCATTCGTCCTTTCCGTTTCGTTCGTCGTGTGGAGATCTCCGAAGTCTGAAGATCTAAAGGCAGAGTATCTCCCCAACTCCTGATGAGCGAGGCAGAGCTACCTCCTGTCCAGCGGCGCCGCTGCACCGCGGAAAGGCGGGAATGGAAGAAACTCGTGGAGATCCAGCAACAGCTGCTGTTGACGTCGTCACGCTCCTCCAAACGCGGTTCGTCCAGTTCTCCGAGCAGCGTCGAGAAGGACGTCCTCCAACGATCGGAGCCCCTGAAAGCTCCAGGCCCCAAGCAGAAGGCTACGAGTAGCTCGAGTCACGAGTTGGCCGTGCAAGCGTGCAGCAGCGCCCCGGCTCTTCTGGGCGAGCAGAGGATCCTGCTGCACACCGCCGAGGTCATGGAGACCCTGAGCATCCTGCTGCAGTCCGACTCCTCGGCCTCAAGCACTTGCTCCGGAGCGGAAATGCGCCACGAAAGCCGCCGAGAGCGGCTGAAAGCGTTGCACACGCAGATCAAATCATTGATGAAGCAGCGTTGCCTCCTGCTGCTCAAGAAAGAGTGTAACCGCCAGCTGGGCCTGGTGCGGCTGCTGCGAGACCGCACCCGGGACCTGGCGCTGGCCGAAGACACGCTGGTCAACCAGCTGCTCTCGTCGGGCCACCCGATCCTTCCCGGGGACGTGTTGCAGCTGTCCTTCCTCCGCAAGGCCGGCTTCCTGGACAGCCTGGAGGCTGCCACTCGGGCCTGGCCCCGGCTGCTCCAGTTCCTCGGCCACACGTTGAACAGCCTGGACGCCGAGTGGCACGGCTGTCTGGACGTGGTGCTTCGTTGGGCCCACGGCCGCCTCGACAGCCTCGCCCGCCAGCTGATCCGCTGGGCCTGGCTCAGCCTCCGGAACGACGTTTGGCTCCTGTGCCACATGGACGCTGCCGACCTGCACGCGGACTGGATCGCTGCCCTGTACGCATCCTGCCAGCGCTTCCAGCTCGCCTCCCACTGGCCCCGAGTGGACCCGGTGTCGGCGGTCCTGCGCACCCTGGCCACCAGGCAGGCACATCTGGCAGCCAATAGACTGTCCACCTTCCTCTGTGCGGAGGCCAGGAAAGCGCCGCAGATGTGCGCGCTCTCCGAGACGCTCTGGGAGCGCACTCCCGACGACTGGACGGCGTGTCGGGAGGCCCCCTTCCTGGCAGCCTTGCTGCAGAGCGGCCAGAGCCTGCTCTTCAAATACCTGCTGGCGGCCACCTGCCTCAACCACCTGATTCCATCGCACGAAGCCAAGCAGAGCCAAGGTAGTGTGTCTTTCCCCATCTCGCACCCTTGGCAACTATCACTTAGCTGAGTAGTACTGTGGCTAATATGGAGGTGAACACTGTTGAATACGCGGGCCGAAACACTCCCAAGGAGATCTAAGCGAGCCAGCACTGCCTCTTTTTATTGTTGGAAATGTTTGGAAGGATCCACCTTTTTTCAAATGGGTGCTGCCACCTGGACGTGCGACTGGGTTCGTGATTGAGTGGCTAGAAATTGTGCTTGCGAGGCCTCTCCCACCCATTTGACACCCAAAACGTCAGCTACATCCTGTTAACCCATCGAGACTCTGTGACCTAGATACGGATCCCCCAAACTTCGCTTTTGTCCCCATCGTGGAATATTTTAATTGAAAATATATATATAGGAAGAGGTGGTGGATTATCTTCGGCCTCGAAGCTGATACAAAGACGCCATCTTCCCGTCCTGCTCGGCCAGGAAAAAAAGAGGGAGTGTACCAAGTCCATTTACTCACAAACACTTAGTTCCGAGAAAGGTGGATTGACACTACAAGGTCTTTACCTTTTGTAGGGCATATTTTAGATTGCACTATTTGCCTTGAGGTCAAACAGTGTCGCCACCTTGAGGCCAGAATTATAAGCATCCAGAAGCGTGGATACTGCGGTGTCGCCTGCTGCAGGCACACCTGGAGGAGCACGGATCTCAGTGATGAAAGCCTGTTTCCAGCTGAGCTGCACTCCTTGTTAAATGCTTGCTTTTGTTGTTGTTTCTTTTTCCTAAAGGATTGTTGCATCATTTCACTAGCGTGGAAATTCAGCAAAGCAGGAAATATTAAGTCGGATGCTTCCATAATCTTACTGCTGTGGTTTGTAGAGCCGCGCATCCTACTCATTTTTGTTATATCGCACAATCCATAGCTTTAATAAAATAATGAATGTTAATTGGAGCTCGGACTTGATTAAAAGAAAATCATTTGACTCAGCATTCAATTGATCCATTAGTAGATTCATCTCCAGGCCTATTATATCAAGGTCTATAACACTACAGATTTTTTTACTATTTGTACTGTTATAAAAGGCTTGTCGTTCTGATGCTTACAGAACTATAAACATGGGAAGTATTTTTAAAAGTGAAGTCACTTTTAAAGGGATACTACAACGAAATTTCGGCGCTCATTTTTTGGTCTATATATGTTCAAAGGAGCAGTATCACATTGAACATACCAATATCTTGTTCAAAAAGTCTCAAAAAGGAATTTTAAAACAAATTAAACGATTAGCAAAGGGCACCTGGTAGATGTCGCTAACGCCTCGCATGTAATGCCCGTCTAGGAACCTTGACAGCTAGTGATGGTGAGTGTCTCGCCTCCGGCCACGACGAGAGAAGAGGGGAAGGAGGAACTCCCCTCTTCCCAAGAATGCCTTTTATGTGTTGCAGAAGTCACTATTGTCCCCCTACAAGATTATAGAAGATTAACCCGTCACTCAAAATTCGTACAAAAGCAGCCGCTTCGGTGGCTGGAACGACTAGGCCATCCTCTCGACGTCAGCCTCGCCGTAGCTTTACTCTTCCCGAGACGACCTACGTCACGATTGCGTTGGATGTCACGTGGTCTCTGCTGGGCCTTCTCCGAGCGCTTGCTAGAGGGGGCCGTTTATAATGAAAAATACAGCCATCAGGCTCAAAATACAGACGTGTGATTGTCATATTCAACCTATTTTTGAACACGACGGGAATATTTCAAATTTCGTTGAAGTGTCCCTTTAAGTTATAATTTAAGCAGTACAATCACCTTCAGTGACAATCACAAAAATGCTGAGGTGGTTTACCGTGGAAGCCTTGGCCCTAAAACAAATAAAGACGTCAGAAATAAAAAAGCAGGCATTCTATACTGACCATAAAGGTTTTGACATTGTTGCACAGCAGAAGTCACTTCCACAAAATAAGAATTAAACATCCAACATGCAAAGACATGAAACAGATACGTAGTGTATCAGAGAGCCTAAGTCATAATAAATAATATTGCAGACACATTCCAGTATTTAAAGGTAAAATGAGGCATGGAAAAGAACACTCCGTGCGACGCGACTGGCGCGCCGCCGCGCGGCGGGTACCGCAGGTAGGCAGTGAGAACCCCAGAGAAAACGAAACCGAAACCACGCCGCGTACATTGGTACGCATTGAGGTCGGAGCGGTGTGGTTGCGCTGGGTTCGCAGCATGAAGTGCTGCCTGTGCTGCGTCATTAAGTGCTTCAATAGTTATGCGTCGTATCTCGTGGGAACAAAGTTTCAGTTTTTCACCTCGCCGATGTTTTGTGGGACAGCGACAACGATGGACCCATGCCGTATACGCCGCGAAAAATTTGGTCTCCCGATCATGTCTGCCACTGTGTCGGCACGGCTGACATATTCTACACTGCCGCTTTGCGCTCTGCGTTTGTTTTCATAACAGTAATGCCTACATGTGTTAGCGCCGATGGGACGAACTGTAATGCCATCCCACACTCGCGGGTATGCAGTGCCAATTTCGTTGGAGGAATGCCTTCCAAAGAATCGTCCCCATCGTACGTGTAACGTGTCGATATTTCTGGACAAGTATGGCATGCACTCTGTACTTCATGAAGAAAGATTCGAACAGTAAAAAAAGTGACAAATATGAATCTAAAGAAAACGACAATGAAACTCGAAATGACTAGAGAATCGACGTTTGAGTATGGAAGTTTATGTGGTGTGCTTTCTTTCTTGATCAGCCTCCTTTTGGATGTGGAAACGCTGACACCCCGAGTTCTGTAGACAACAATTTTTTTCTTCTCGGCTTTAGAGCCACCTATGGCAAAGTGGTTCGAACTGGAAGTACCGTCCACTGGTCCCTTCCTATGTGTAAAGTGTGCACCTCCCACGATGAGTGGTATTATCTTGACAGCCTTTGACGGTCAAAACCAGTTCCCATTTAGTTACGCCACCCAAACTAAATTTCCACCTGGTTTCGCTATGCCAACTCTTTTTCGTATAATAAGTGTTGTGCCAAGTTATGGTCATGTCAAAGTAGCTGTGCGCCGAAAATCAGCACCTCGGACAACAGGTTATTACTCAACAGCTGACCGCAAAAGCCCTTGACGGCCAAACCGTGTGTTGGCCGACAACTTTGTTTTCTCGGCTTTGGAACCACCTTTCGTAAAGTTGTTCCAATTGGAAGTACAGTCCACCAGTCCCTTCCTACCTGTAAAGTCTCCCCCTCCCACGACCAGTGGTATTCTCTTCACAGCCCTTTCATGGTCAAAACCGGTTCCCATTGAGTTACGCCGCCCAAACCAAATTTCCACCTGGTTTCCCTATGCCACCTCTTTTTGGTATAATAAGTGCTGTGTCATGTTACTGTCAAATCCAAGCACCTGTGTGCCCAAATCTGCACTTCGCACAGCCCGATTACAACACAACTTTTTGGGTCCAATATTGGATTGGTACAGCTTTATTTCTTTATTCGTTTGAAACATAACTTTCACGCCTGTTGTCTTAATGAAACTTGGCACACTTCGAGCACAAACTTAGTGAACATCTCACTCGCCTCCAAATATCATCGTCCGAGCAGTCCTACGTTTACAGCGACGAGCAAACTAAATTTCCCACTCAGATCAATTATGGTGGCGGCCGTCTTGCTTTTCAGAAAATTACTCCAACTCCTTTTTTGACTGCAACTAGAGAAATTACACCTAATAACGACTCAAACTCAATATATAAGAAATGAAGAACAGCTAAAAGCCCTTCTTAGGTCTTCCCCAGCACTCATGCAACATCACCCTCAACGTATCGGCTCAAAAAGCAAAAGTTTCGTCCGTGCGCACTTCCGCCGCCACAGCTTGGCATGCGAAAAGGCGCCGCAGGCTGCTGAACGCGCCTCACTGTCGAACGCCAGCTTCTCCGCTAGCGGCACTGCAGGCGTTTTTCAAAGCACCCCCTATAGTTCCTGCATGGAGCGTATTGCAGAAAAGCTGAATTTGATGCATTAGTGATCCTTCAATCAGCTTGTCAGGATAAAACATGTTGTGTTGTGTGAATTTAGCTAGGACTCTTCACTTCATACTGCCAAAAAGATCAGGCACATCCATTTGACCTTGGATGAGCTTCTGTAGAAAACACTACACCTCAGCAATACATATGGTCACTTAAAGTGCTGAGATTCAAAAGCTCAAACAAAAAAATGGTTGTTGAAATAAAGTTTCATGTGGAAATGCCAATCATAGACTATGCGGACCAAACGCTTTTGTACCACTTCAATACGTTAAGGTATATTTGCTTTCCAATAAATGGTTCCACACGGCAGAAGCAAATTCGAGTCGAGGCCTAACCACAGCCCAAAATAAACGTAACATAGCATCAGGTGCTTGAAAGTGCCAAGTCAAACGTGAAATCATACCAAGCAATTTAAAACCGGTACCACAAATGGTAGTGACATGAGATTTTAAAGCGAGTTGGTAATCGACCACTGTAAAATCCCGTGCAAGCGCCCACTCAAAATTTGGAGATAATCATGTAAATTTGGGGGACAATTTATGAAGATACGTCCTTTGTGTATTTTCCGAACGTTACAAATTGAGGGGTGGGCAATTTTGTAAAATGGGGGGATGCTCGGTATTTTACGGTAACGCACCAAGGGTCCTCATCACATCAGCTTGAATAAGTACATTTGTACTACTTGTACTTAAAATGTAAGGGATCTTTACACCTTGAAAGCGAGATAACTTTTGTTTTGTTGGCGTTCAAAGGCAAATGGTTTGATGAGCATCATTTTGAAATACTCAGAACATCAGACTGCAACACTTCACAATCTATTTCAGAACAAATATGGAAGAATAACTTTATGGCATCAGCAAATAAGAGCACCCTAGCAAGTTGTATACACTTTGAAACATCATTTATAAATACCAGAAACAACAATGGTCCCAATACTGACCTCTGGGGAACTCCTGAAGTTGGAAAAACGTATTTGATAAAACATTTTTAACCCAAACATAGTTTTTTC